AGGGCTACCAGAGCCCAAGAACAAGGCCAGGGAAAAGAACAGGACCAAGCCACTGAAGGATTTTTTTCCCGCAAATGGTCAAGAGAGGCTGAGCCAGACTGTCCAGGGTGTGCAGGGGCCGCCTCTAACCCCAGGAAACCCTGGGCCTGGGTCTCAGCCCCACCTCCACCCCCGGGTTACGACCATCACTTCTCCACCCTGCCTGGCGGTGCTGCCAGGTGGTAAAGACGTTCCAGAAGGTGCAGACATGTCCAAGCCTCACAGCATTTCAGAGCTGGAGGTGCCCATAGATAGACGGCAAGACTGAGTCCAGCAAGGGGCCTTGGAGGGCCTGGGCAGGATGGAAAGACCCGTGCCCCTCCTTCTGAGACCCCTCACTGTCTCTGAGATGGGCAGGAACAGGAAGAGGGAAGGAAGTCAAGAGGCAGGCAGAGTGAGGCCCTACAGGGACTGGGGATAAGTGCCCCAGCCGTCCAGCTGCCCCTCCAGGACAGCGGCACACTAGTGGCTCACTCCCATCCAGGACCAGGACTCACTCCTGGGGGCTGAGGGCTGCGAAGAGCGCCCCTGCCGCCTCCCACCACCCTTCTCCCAAGGGGTCCCCTTTCCCTGACCCTCACCTGTGTGCGTACCGGGCCCCATCTCCCCTCTCCTACCCACCAAATCCCTTCAGGGCACATCCTGTGCCACCTCCCAGCATGCCTCAGGGCAGCCAGAGGTGACTTCTAACTTTGCCCACCTTACAGGCGAGGACACTGAGGGCTGTTCCAGGGTGTTCGGCGTGGTTTGGGATGGGCTATGCTCCAGCCCACAACCCCCCCCACTGCCTTGTGTCTTCCCAGCTGACCCTGAGCCCCCCGAGAGCAGCCTGCATCTCTCTGTTCTGCCCGGAAACGTCCCTGAATGTGGGCAGGCCAAGCGGGCTGGGGAAGCAGGCAGTGCACAGGTCCTATGCCCAAGGATGGTCGGTCTCCAACCATCCTGGTGCCCCAACCAACCATAGTGCCCCACGCCAGGCACTATGAGGGCGTGACCTCTGCCCACGGGGCTCCGGCCAGCTGGTCCCAGCTACGAGGTCCCATCCACCTCAGCCAGGCCCAGGACACCCTGCCAGGAAGAGGGAGGGGACAGTGCTGTGCCACCCCCCTCAGATTGGGTCCCAGGACAGAGCCCCGCCTCCCCCATCAGGCTGCGGAAGGCACCAGGGACCCCATTTAGCAGATGAAGAGAGCAAGGCTCACGGACAGGCCGAGGTGCCCAGGGTGAGGGCGTGGCAGAGCCCGCCTGGAACCGGGGTCCTGGGCCTCCTCTGCTCACTCTCCGCCCCGGGGCCAGTCTGAAGGCCAGGTCTGTGCCTCCCCGTCAGCCTGGGTGGGCGGGCCCGGGGCCAGACTGTCCCCACAGAGGAGCAGAACCTTCTCTCCTTTCCCCTCATTCCAGGCTATATTTAGAGGCCGCAGAGAGCGAGGCACGTGGGGAGTGGGTGCCGGGCGCCTACTGGCGGACGGGGCCACTTGCCTGGGTGTCCCTGTCCCCCTCAGGACCAAGGGTCTAGCCCTGGGCTCACCTGAGGCAGCCCCAGGTTCCAGTCCTGGCCTGTGCCTCCCAGAGCTTCGGCTTCTCAGAGTGTGAGTGCAGGACGCCCAGAGGCCAGGACAGGGACCCAGCACCCAGCTCCTCGCCACACCCACACCATGAATCCACTAGAAACGGGAGAGAGGAAGGCTCTGCCCTTATGTGAGAGGGAGGCAGGCAGGGAGACCAAGGCTAAGAGGGGTTCCTCAACAACCCAGAGCGGCTGCTGGTGCGTGGGGACCAAACTCTGCAGGCCAATGTCACTGCGCCAATGCTCCCACGACCCCAGCGCTCCAGCCATCGCTGGCGGTGCCAACCCACCCGGCCCTGAGTCCCATCTTAGATGGAAGCATCATGCATAGGCCTAGCCCTGGCCCGCAGGAGGGGCAGGGGCCTGAGCCTGCACAGTGGGAGAGCAGAGCTGGCAGGAGGGTCCTGGGGGAGGCGGGAGGGAGCCGCGCAGCCAGGGGACGGGAGCACGGGGTGCTGGGAGTGGGTCGCTGGGAGTGGGTCCCGGGGAAGAACACCCTGCTGAGGGCCACGCCCTTGACCCGAGCCGTTTCAGAGCTTCCCAGGGGACGCCATCCCAGCGGACGGTCAAGGAGCAGCGTGAGCAGAGGCAGTGAAGACCAACAGGGAAACTGAGGCCTGGAGGACAGAAGTCCTTCCTGAGGCCATGGGGAAGGAGCAGGAGAGAGGGGGCCCCTCGGCCCAGAAGCTCACAACCCAGCTCCTCCCCGGGCCCAGAGAGGGGCGGGCCTGGTGCTGCGCGGGCAGGTTCAGGAGGCCGTCAGCAGGCCACAGCCCAGAGGCTCCACAGGCCAAGCCCTGGGCCTGGAGACCTACCATTGAGTTTCTCATTGTTCAAAGCAAAATGAACAGATGCCCTAGAAAGGGTCATCAAGTGAGAAGGCCAGTACTTAGCCACTGTGAGAAGTGAGCCGTGGAGTGTGATGTGCAGGGGGTTATAACAGGAACAGAGACAGCCAGACTCACAGAGAGAACAGGGGGAGAGACGAGACCTGCAGAGAGTCAGGGATCCTCATCCCAGGCTGTGACCGGGATCAGGGCTCAGAGTGTGATCGGAGTCAGGGCTCAGTGTATGGCAGGATCGAGGTTCCTGGGATCCTATCCTGTGTGGCTGACATCAGGGCTCAGCCTTGTTTGGGATCAGGGTTCAGACTCTTGGAGCCGGGACGCGCGGTGTGCTCTGCAGACATCGCCATCTCTCCTCACCCAGGGGGGTGGGGGGTCCTGAGCACCCTGCCCATCCCCCAGCTGCAGAGGCACCCGGGCCCCCATCCCTGGCCTGGACCCTCTGGCACCTCGAGCCTGCAGCTGGCCAGCATGTGAGGCTGGCCCTGGGGAGTTTCCTGGAAGGGCGTCATCCTGGGACTATCTCCCAGAGGAAGTGTTCTGTAATGTTTATTATTTGTCTCTCCCTGTGACACGGACTCGAACCTAGTGCAGACACACTGGAAAACCAAAAAGCGTGTGGAAGGGAATCCAAAACGACTGTTCGCCGTGTCCCCAGAGCCAGATCCCAGCCATCCTCCATGCCTCGCCACGGCTCATTTGTTTTCACAGTAGGGAGACAGGCTGGGAGGCACCCCTGTCCTCCTTGGAGCCATTCAGGAGTCCCCCACTGCCTGGGAATCCAGGTTCCCAGCCCCGTGCCCCAGCCTCATAGCCTCCCCTCGCTCTTGCTCATGCCCCCAGGATGTCTCTCCCTGCCCTAGATGCCCCTGTGCTCCACCCCCACCCCCCCGGCTTGACTTACCATTTGACAAACACACCCATCGACCCTGCGTGTTTGGGGCTGGGGTACCAAACAGAGGGCAGCCCAGCCGGAAAGGACTAGAAAGCTGAGACCTAGGCCTGCATGTGGTGGGTGTGGCCATGGGCCTAGACAGCCTCTGACTCCTCCCAGCAGCCTTGGGGGTCAGCAGATGCCCGGGGCCACAGTCCTAGGGGCAGAGGCAAAGCTAGGTGACCTCAGGCACGTGCAGACCTCTCTGGGCCCAAGGAGAGAGGCGGCCTACCGCCCTGCCCGGGCCTCCCTCCAGGCCAGACTGGAGCGCAACCCTTAGCCAGCAAGGACTCCGCTGCCGTGCCTCCCCTCCACCAGGCTGGACATTTGGTGCCCAGCCCCCAGCAGACAGAACTCAGTACCCCCAGTCCACAGAGTGGAAGCTGCCGGAGGGAGCCCGTTGCCTAGGGCCAGATAGGCAGCCGTGGGGAGTGGGCAGTGTCCCGCCCGCGTGCAACAGATGCCCCACGTCCATGGGCCATGGTGGGGGGCAGGGGTGCACAGCGTCTTCCTTTCCCCTTGCAGGTGGGGGAGGACGCACTGTGCGGCTGGGATGTCCCACGTACCCACCCTTCCCCCCAGCTTGTCCCCAAAGCCCTCTCCTTTCTCCAGAAAAAGCCAGAAATGCCCTTATTTGGAGCATCAGCACGGCAGGGATGGGGGTGGGGGCCTGTTAACCCTTCACGGGTAAACAGAGATAAATCTCAGTATGTTAAACACAGCGGTGCAGGAACATAAACGGAGTGGGCGGCCCCTTACCCGCCGCTGGAGCGCAGCGTTTATTTAACTCACACCCGCCCCACGGCTGCTGGGACGGGGCTCCAGGCGCAGGCCCCAGCCAGCACCCTGAAGGATTCTCGAGCCTCCCAAGGCAACAAGGGTGCTCACCTCTCAGCGCTGGGAGCCCCAGGAGGTCGGGTGGGGGCAGGGGGAGATGATGGCCCTTGGGCGAGGTTTCTTATGAGGACCCTAGCCCGCGGGCATTGACCCACCACCGGCCTTAGAAGAGCCAAGAACAGATGGGCGGGCAAGAGGACAGGGTCTGACCCGTGGGTGTGGGGACAGCCAGGCGGGGCCGTCGCTGGCCAGGCTCTTTGGAGCAGAACCGTGGTTTATCGGGCAGCAACTAACCCTGTGGTTTATCCAGCACCAACCATGTGCTCAGTTAATGCTAGCAGCTACACAGCCCCAGCCATATGGATCAGGAGGGGAAGCACAGAGAGGTTAAGTGACTGGCCTAAGGCTGCACAGTGAGGAAGGGAGGAACCAGGCCTGGAGCCCGGGTTCAAGCCTCCCACTCTTGGATTCACAGCTTACCTGCGCCACAGCCTTTGTCTTCCCTGTTGGTCCTGTGACAGTCCTGTACAGCAAGGGTTTTTCCTTCCCGCTGCATCAAGGAGGGGCTCAGACTAGCAACATTCGGCCAGAGCTCCGCCCAGCAAGTGCGGGGCCCCATGGGATGGAGAGGGCAGGCGTCTCAGGGCCAGACGGGAATGCTGGGGACCTCGGCGAGCAGGCAAAGCCCAGCAGCATCAGGCTCCAGGCACGGCTCCCACCACCCAGGGCTAACCTGCCTCCTTCCTTCCAGGCCCCCCGGTGTGTGCCGGCCGCAACCATGCCCTCTGCGTCTCCCGTGGGCTCCTGGGCCCCAGCGGCCCCCAACGCCACAGTGGCCGAGGCCAACGGCAGCCTGCCGGAGAAGCCCCTGTTCCACGTGTTCGCCCGGCTGGACGAGGAGCTGCACGCCGCCTTCCCGGGCCTGTGGCTGGCGCTGATGGCAGTGCACGGCCTCATCTTCCTGGCGGGGCTGGTGCTTAACGGGCTGGCGCTGTACGTCTTCTGCTGCCGCACCCAGGCCAAGACGCCGTCAGTCATCTACACCCTCAACCTGGTGGTGACCGACCTGCTGGTGGGCCTGTCCCTGCCCACGCGCTTCGCTGTCTTCTACGGCACGCGCGGCTGCCTGCGATGCGCCTTCCCGCACGTCTTCGGCTACTTCCTCAACATGCACTGCTCCATCCTCTTCCTCACCTGCATCTGCGTGGACCGCTACCTGGCCATCGTGCAGCCCGACGGCTCCCGCCGCTGCCGCCAGCCGGCCTGCGCCAGGGCCGTGTGCGCCTGCGTGTGGCTGGCCGCCGGCGCCGTGACCTTGCCGGTACTGGGCGTGACGGCCGGTGGGCGGCCCTGCTGCCGCGTGCTGGCGCTGACCGTGCTGGAGTTCCTGCTCCCGCTGCTGGTCATCAGCCTGTTCACGGGCCGCGTCGTGTGCGCCCTGTCGCGGCCGGGCCTCCTGCGCCAGGGCCGCCGGCGCCGCGTGCGGGCCATGCAGCTCCTGCTCACGGTGCTCGTCATCTTCCTCGTCTGCTTCACGCCCTTCCACGCCCGCCAGGTGGCCGTGGCGCTATGGCCGGACGGGCCGCCCCGCGCCCGCCTCGTGGCCTACCACGTGGCTGTGACCGTCAGCAGCCTCAACAGCTGTCTGGACCCCATCGTCTACTGCTTCGTCACCAGCGGCTTCCAGGCCGCCGTCCGAGGCCTCTGCCGCCGCCACGGAGCCAGGTGCGAGCCCAGCAGCGGCACCATGGTCAGCGCGCGCAAGAGCTCCCGAGGCTCGGGCCACCATCACATCCTCAGGGCCGGCCCCAGCGTCTTCGCCCAGGACCTGGCCAACGGGCCTGACGCTTAGTCGGCAGGACCCTGCCAGGGGCCCAGAGGTCAGGACCGGGCGGGGCAGACCAGGTCAAGGCCAATGGAGACCTCGGCTCTGCCTGGGGGTGGGGCTGGGAGGGCCGACATCATGGCCCTTGATTGACTGCGGATGGCTGACCCACACGCTGCCCGGAGAAGGCATCTGAGGCCACACAGCTCCGAAGTCGATGAGCAATGTCCGCCTCGGCTTCCGCAGGGGATGCGGGAGTCCAGACGCTGACGCCTTACTGTCCCGGGGGCACAGACCGTGGCCGATGAAAACGCAGAGGAGCACCCCGGAGCTGCTTCTCTCCTGGCCTGTCCCCACCCTACAAGGGACTCCTCAGAAACAGGCACTAGGAATCCCAAAGAGGTTCTGTTCCCACTGCTCTCGTCCCCTCCTCCCCATGCCTGTCCCCCACAGAGAGAAGAACAAGGACGGAAAGGAAAAGTCGGGGCCCAAGAATGTCCCGTGAGCAGACAGAGGCGTTCAGGCCTCTGGAAGACGCCGCCCAGGGCCCCCGTGAACCGCACGGCGAGACAGCATGACGGCCCTGGGGAGCTTAGCTGGAAGGGCTGTGACATCTGGGCTGAGGCCTGTCCCCCCACAGCCCACAGAAGAGAAGCTGTGTCCTGCCCATCTGGGGTGGGAGGCAGTAAGCAGCACGTACGGGGGCCACGGCTGGGCCACGGCCACATCAGAATCAAGACCCCGTCCCACGTCCTGCCACACCCCTGCGCCAGCCCTTGGAGGCAACTCCAGTCCGTCCAAAGCCCTCACTCCAGGAATGACCTCAGAAGACACTGCGGGCTGCCCCGGGGGGGCGGCAGGGCTCGGGCCCCATCCTATGGATGAGAAAACCAAGAGCAAAAACCTAGAGCAGCTTGGAGGCCTCCCAGCCCGAGGCTCCCGGCAGCCCACATACGGAGCCCTTTGTTCTCCTCTGGGGGCAAGGACCACTGGCCAGCTCCTGCCTGGGCTCGCCGTTTCTCCCCTGCCTATCCTGGGGAGGGAGCGTTTTTTCTGGCTTGGGTCTCTGGTGCCTCCTCTAAGCTGCACTCCGGGATTGCCTCCACAAACCTTCTATGGAGCAGCCAAGCTCTCTGAGCCCTTTGTAGACTGCTGCAGGGTAGGGGCCTACTGGGGGAGATGAGCCCTGGGCCTGAGCCAGGCCCCATGCTGGAACTCAGCCACAGCCACTGAAGCAGGGTGAGATGGAATCCGGCCTCGGATCTGCCCAGCCTTGCAGAGGAGAGTCCTATGTGCTCAGTGGCTCCAGCCAGAGGCTTCCATCCTCCAAGTTCAGGGCCCTGGAGGGAGGCCTGGGAGGCAGGAAGGCCATTTATAGCCCCATGCTACAGATGAGAAAACTGAGTCTCAAAGAGGGAAAGGCCCAGCCAGGGCCGGAGAGAGCACCAGGTCCTCCAAGGTCAGCTCTGTCTTCGCCCACCCCTGAAGGACAGGTTCCAGGCATAGTGCAGGAGCCTCTCCCCAACCTTGCTCAGAGCAGGGCTGTGGCTCCCCAGGGACCCAGAGCCGCATGGGGCAGAGCAGGGACCTGTGAGCCCGTGGCAAGAGGGATGCCGAGCCAAGGACCAGCACTAGTGGTGGGTTTCAGGCAAGGAAGCCCCCACAGAGCTCTGTCCCCAGCCCCACATCGCACCAGGGCAGGCATGCGGTGGAGGGGTGGGGGAGGGGGAGGGTCAGTGTCAGGGCTTGGCCCCAGCAGAGCACCACCTGTTTGCTCTCTCCCCCTGGTGCTCATTCTCATTCACGCTCAAGAGTGAGTGGCTGATGCCAGAGGACAGGGCTGTGTTTGAAGGTGGAGGAGTAGAGGTTCTCCTGGGACAATCCCTTCCTCTAGGAGGTGGGGTCCGTAAGGCAGGTGAGCCGGCACGGATCTGGGAAATGGTGACCGGGACCCGGGTCTGTTCCCCTCTGCTTCACAGCTGTTGTCTCGTTAATCGCACCGCGTACAGAGGGAAGAGCCATGGGCAGCGCTGGGATCCGGCATCCAGGGAGGTGCCCGAGCCCCCTCCCCTTGTCCTCAGGCCTGAAATCCCACCATCCAAGCTGGGTTTCTCAGGGGCTCCCCAGGGCACTGTGGGAACCTTCTACCACTCAAGTTGGACAGGTAGCCACCTGTCCCCTGCAGCCGGGACGGGAACTGGCGGCTGACCTCGCTCTTCCGAGAACTCAGTCTGACGGCCCCCCACACAGAGCTCTCTCTAGGTGGGCCTCAGTTTCCCCCCATCTCCCCTGCCCTCTCTCCCCTCCTTGGCCTTGCAGCTGGCGGAGAAAGGGCTGAGGAACGCCCCCCCCCCCCACAGCTCTCTCGAAGGCTTGATCCCACCTCCTGACGTCTGGCTCCCTCCTACTTTGACCTCCTTGTAGGGACTGAGCCCCCAGGGGCCTCCAGAGGCCGACCTGGACTGTCCTTGTTCCCACAGGGGCCAGGGTGTGAGGTCTCTGGACCCCCTCCCCCTGGCCTCCCTTCCCTGATTTTCAGGAAGCCCAAGTGACGTGACATGGTGTGTGTGTTTGTATCTGATGTAAACGATGTCCTTACAAGAAGTCCTCATCCTGAACTAAATCTGTTCCTTCCCTTCCTGCCCTGCACTCAGAGAGCATGCGCAGGCATCACCTGCCCCAGACATGCCCCCCCATGGAGTCTCAGACCCTTTGAGACTCAGTTTGGGGGGCTCTGCGCCAGCAGGAGCACATTCACCGCCAGGGACAGGCTGTGGTGGTGGGTGTGTGCTCGCGCCATCCCTGGGGGGCAGGGGTGGGGGCGGTTAGGGACCTGGAGCCCCACGGAAACCACTCTGAGGTGTCCTGTCCTCTGAACCTGCCCAGAAGCCTGGGAGGTGGGGATTGTCATCCCTGGTCTACAGATGGGGGAAGGGAGGCTCAGGCGTCCTGGATGGCCTGGGCCTCCGGACACCTGGTTCCTGCCTCTCAAGACGGCCTGGGTCCTCTGGTCCTCTGTTCCTCCTGGGGAGCCCCGGGTGGGAAGGGGTGTGGCTGGATGCCGCCCATCACTCTGCTGTCTGGCGCACTCTGAGACCGGAGGCGGCCGGAGGTAAATATTAGGGCCTGTTTAGATTAAGCTCCATTAATAGCAGAAAATGTCACTGCGGCGCCCGCCCCAGCTTCCTGGGGGCCTCCGGTGCCTGGGGCAGGCGTGGAAGGCCCTGTGGGAGATGGATGTCCCCCCTGACGGCCAGATCCGACCCTGCACTGCCCCGGGCCTCCTCACACCCCCTCCCTTCCCCTGGGAGGCTCAACGTGCGCCTCCTCTAGGGGCCCAGGAGGCAGGGGCCGAGGCAGTGAGGCTGTTCAGCCGAGGCAGCCTCCCCATGGGGTCTGTGCTCCTAATTCACCGAGGAGGACACTGAGGCTTAGAGATGTGAGGGGACCCACGCAAGGCCACCCAGTGACACCCAGGAAGAGCATTGCCCACCCAGACCTGCCTGGTCCCAGGGCCAAGGCCACCCCCACCCCCTGACCGTGGCAGGAACCAGGCAAGCTGTGGGTCACTGCGCTGAGTCTGGGGAAAGGGGGATGCGCCCTGGCGTAGGAGGGAGGAGGAGGGCAAGACAAAAAGCGGAAGTGGGAGGGAGGGAGGACGGGCCTGGGGAAATGGCTTGTGTCATCCCCATTTCCACGTGACCCCCTGCCCCACGGAGCCTCCCCAGACCTCCCAGACGGGCCCCTCCCCACCCCTGGCAGCCCCTCTCTCGCCCTGCGCTTAAGGCTCTATACACCCTCCCCTGGGCCTTCCCTTTGGTGCAGCACAAGCCCTGACTATCCCCATCTTGGGTCCCTTCCCTTCCTCTGGCCCTGGGGCCAGCCTGCCAGAGTCCTTCCCACCCCAACCCAGGACAGACCACCCGGCCCAGCAGTCCCTCAGGACTTGCCCCCAACCTAACCATCGGGCTTGGCCCCGTGCTGAGCCCGCAGGGACTCTGCAGGGCCTCTGGGAGTCCAAAGGCTAGTGGCACAGCTGTGACGCTCGGAGTCCTCTGCCACGCCAAATGGGACTGTCCAGACAGGGGCATCCTGAAGGGCTTCCTGGAAGAAGAGTTTCAAGGCCCTTGCCTGCAGGTCCTCACCCCACCCACCTGGCCCGCCGCACCCACCCCACTGGGCCTCACCTTGAGGTTGTGGTACCAGGAGCTTTTCAAGCCCCACGGGCACCCAGAGCCTTGCAGGCAGGCGGGACCAGGGCATTTCACGCCCATATTACAGATGAAGAAAGGGAGGCCCCGTGGGTGAGTGGACTCTTGGACCACGCATCATGTCCTGCTGCACCAACTCGGGGACCCCCCTGAGCCTCAGCCCCACTGTGAGGAGGGGCCTTCTGCCCAGACCGCAGGTGCCCCAGGACTGAGCAGCTCTGGCCCCACTCCAAAGGCAGCAGAGGAAGGGGAGAGGAGCCTGGCAAGGCAGGCGTCCCTCCCAGTGTCCCCGAGACCGCAGCCTCATCCCTGCCCCTCTGCAGGCCTGTTTGCTCAGCTGTAACAAAAGGGCTCAGAACAAATGGCCTCCCAGCCTGGTGTTAGATCCTGGGGTCTAGCTGACAGAAAGGACTTAAATGGGAGAAGCACTGCCTGTGTTTATAAACTAGCCCCGGGCTCTGCTTTCCTCCCTCCTCCCCACCCACCAGCCCTCCACTTCCAGTGCTCTCGGCGGGGAGAGCAGGCGTCCCGAGCGCAGAGGTGGATTCACAAGGCATGGGGTCCCCAGGCTCACCCCCAAGCCAAGGAGGCCTTTGCAGCGGGGTCCCAGACAGAAGTGGGGTGGGGCATGAACTTGGTGGGAGGAGTAGGCCAGGAGCACTGTCACCCGCCCTGCACTGGACCCTCAGGACCCAGGCATCAGCGCGTCCCCAGATGTCACAGGGTGCCACAGACCTTCACATCTAGGGACTCCAGGGGGGCGACAGGTGTCTGGCCCCCTGTGAGCCCCAAGTGTCCAGACTATACCAGTGGCCT